ATTTCATGTTTATTACTCTAACTCATAGATCATTTAGTGTAAGAATACTATATCAGTTAGGAACACTAATATATAAGCTGTATCAAAGCTGCAGTATCTGAAGGACATAGATGCCATCTCTAGAAACAGCAGAGAGAGAGAGGCAACCATTTCATGGTGGTAATTTTGTATACCACAGAAATATAAATGTAATGAACTTATGACTTTACATAAAGCAATATATTTCCCTATTGCAAAACATCATTCAGCCACTGAGATTATACAGTAATGCATGACCATATTTCAACATCCAGTCACTCAACTTGGATGTTGCTGGCATGCCCATATTACAATCCAGCAGACCACATAATAGATCTTCTAGCAGCTTGTATGCCAGTATTACAACACACTACCTCATTTACTGTATACTAACACATCATCTACTCACCGAGATCTTGCAGATGCCTGAGCTTTGGCAGTGCTTGACTAACATCCTTGCTGCCATCATGGTGAGTTTGGGTGCACGGCTTACATCAAACTCCTTCAGTTTTCAAGACACTTATTATTGATCAGCTGGCTCACCTGATCATCGCTAATCTGTTTGTAAAAGAGAGTGAGGTGGAGAGCGAAGGAAAACATTAGTAGAATTTACATAAATCAAAAGGATATCTACATTATGCAGAGAAATACAACAGAAAGAAACAGCACAAGTGATGGAAAGATCTTGGCATAGCAAATGCTTAAACGGAACCTCAAAAAAAGGAACTTACATCACAGAGACAATTAATTTCCAGCCGGGACATGCTCTTGGCATTGTTTAGGATCATGTCCGTGTATGGCGTGGGGAGGTGGCATTTTATCTTCACCACCTGAAGCTTGTGAGGGCTGTGTGTCGAAAACTGTCCACTGCCTATTGAGGAAAATTTTGCTGATTAATTATGACTGCAGTCATCATACATTTGGACCATAAATTTCTTTTTACTATTTATTCAGCAGAAACATTGAGACATTGACTTAAATGAAAAAGGATGTATCAAAAAGTTTACAATACAGTTATCTATTTTTACTGTGAACTGTCAAATGAAATATAATTATTAATAACACCTTCCATTCTGATTGGTGATTAATAGTTAATGATTATGAAGCCAAAAATGTGCTACATGTCAGAAGTCATAGCATTCAGGAAGGTAGTTTGATGTGATCAAGATGTCAAAGGAAGAAGTGTGGGATTTTGCAAGGGTGTCTGTAGGGTAAGGTATGGATAAAAATGTAGAAAAGGGTTTACAGGCAATTAGATCAGAGTTTCAAGGAGAGAATCCAAGGAAAGGGGGGTTGTGACTAAGAATTATATCCAGAAGGAAGTGGAAGCAATAATAGGGAAGGAAGGGGGGGATGATGCAGCTGAACCAGGAAGGAATGAAATGCATTGGGAAAGAGTAGGAGGAAGGGGTGAAGGGAGAACATGAGTAGGAGGAGGATGGATGTCAGCAGTACTTTGAGTGTAGAAGGAATGAAAGCAGAGAGACTGGAGGATGGATAAGTGTAAACATGGTGGGTCAAGATGAGGAAGCTATGAATGTATTTGAGAGTTTCTGAAGTGGAGTTGGTTGGGGAGGTCAGAGAAACAAATGTTTTCTAATGGGGGGAGAAGAGGGAAGATAAGTTTGAGGGGTGGAGAGAGAGATTGATGGAGGAGATGATGGGGTAGGAAAAGACAGGGTGGAGCATTTAGTGCAATGAGTTGGGCAAGGAGGAAGAGGAGAAGGTACTGGGGAAATAGTGATTGAGTTTCTGGAATAGTGGTGGAGATTGGGGTGTCTGGATTTAGAATGGCAAGAGAATTTTATTAGGAGAGGAAAGGAGGTAGAAGTGGGATGAGGAAGAGATACAGGTAGTGATGTAGAAGCATCTTGGGAGGAAAGGGGAGGGGCAGTGTGAAGGACTGTATTGGAAAACAGAGTCAATAAAAAACCTCATTTACATGATTCTTGTCTGACTTCATCTAAGTGATGGCAAGTCTGAATCTGACAATTGCCACTTCAGGGTCAAAATTGTAGGTAGGGCAGCCCCTATGAAATACCTTATGGTAGGCACCACAACTGGCACACATGTGTGACTGAGCAGAGCAATTTGAACAGTCATGACCAGGTTGGGCATATAGAGGTCAGTGGACTGTGGAGCAACAGTGTTTGGCTGGTTGACCAAAACACCAACATTTCAGACACTGACAAGGAATGGGTCGATTTGGTCTGACAGGGGATCACACTCCACTAATAAAACTTCATGGGAGAAGTCACGGTTATGGAAGCTAATTTTGGCAATACTGGTATAGAACTTACAATTACCACTAGGAGGAATAGTGTAGCACTATACTGCCAAGGGACTGCAGGGGGAATCACATAGAACTGATCCTACTTGGCTAGGTCAAAGAGAGTATTCAAAAGGTTTGCAGAGGTGGAAGCAGTTGAAGGATGAGGGCGGGAGTGGAGTGAACTAGCGGAGTGAAATGGTACTGTGGGGAGGAGGACAATAAGGATGGAGAGTAGTAATAAGGGAGGAGGGGGTAGACAATGTAGAAGACTGTCCAGTAGGAGATGGTGTGAATACTGTTGGGAGAGAGGAAGGGGTACATTCTGAAGGTTGAGTATTGACCTGGGTGGGTGGTTTGGAATGGATATTGTCAGAGAAAATCAAAGAGGAGGGAGTGTTAGTATTGGTAGTTGGAGCCATAGTCAAAGGAGAGGCATGGGTTGGGAAACCAGTAGAATCAAATTTGGATTGGCTAGTTGATGAAGAGGCAAGTATTCATACTCCTAATAAGGATAAAAAGAAAATCTTATTAGCCTTGATGGGCCTGAAATAATTTGGAAAGGAAATGGTCTACCCTCACAGTCCCCATAAGGAGTAAGGGATAAGCAATCAACCAAAGGTATACTGTGCCCATGGCTCCTGAAAGGTGTTGGGGACTGACACAATGCCAGCCTTTCATCCTTTCAACATGCCTCTCACAGCTTAAATAGTGGACAGAAAAGGGGGATGAAGATGAGAAGGAAAAGCAAATAGGGAGAAGAAAAGACCATGCAAAATTAGTTGAGACAAGGGATGAGGTCCAGGGTAGTGGGGTGATTGCCTACATTGGGCCTCAGTTACTGTCTCCTACACCCCCAAACGACATCAACAAGCAAGGGACTGGGGAGTTCCTATTCAGAAAAGTCTTCAATAAGCTACTCATCCACGTTCTTATATCTATTCTGTTAATTTATGTTGCTTTTTCCCCTCTCCTGCACCTTCCTTTGCCTCCATGCTTCTCCTTTCATGATCCATCAGAATCAAACATATTCTCCACAGTCCTATCTCTTCTCCATCCTTTATCCACCTAACACTCATTCCCCTGTTTTCTTTCCTTATCTTCCTCAACTTGTCTTCCCCTTCAGTACGTACCTCGTATGGGGCAGAACAATCCTCTCCCTCCATTGTCAAGTACTTGAGATTGGTGCAGTTTTCAAAGATTCCAGGAACGTCTAAACCCCGACACTGGACTGTCAAGGCAGTCAGCTGAGAACCCAAGGCCTGGATAGCCCCCGCAACAGATCGTGATGACACATTGACCATCGTCAGGTGCTGAAAGATTGTGCATTGGGATAAATAATAACTGCAAGGAATAAATATTTTTCTTCAGTTTTAAAGAGAAGTAGTCTTAATAATTCTTCCTTGGCAATGTCACAGACAGGATCACACACAAATGGAAACAAACAGTAATAAAATCAGACACGTATTTACACAATTAAAGATAGATCAAATATATAGTATCATTTTACAGCATAAAATACCTTCATCATACCTCATTACACTGCAAGAAAGTGTTTCAGACAGTTGCATTACTCACCTTGAGGTTTTGCAGCTGCATGAGGTGAGATGTGAAATGTGATGGAGTTAAATGAAGGTCATTCAATCTGTCAAGGTCGACCTCACGGAACCTGTGCCACAGACTCAGGTCCTTAATTTCTGGGCAGAGAGTTGCAACCACCAACACCTTCGAGGCAGAAACACAGTCCTCCTTTACCCTGGAAGTGGTAATACACAATTTTGGAGTAATTTTTACTTCTTACAATGCATTTTGTTATAATTAAAGTTAAAGTACACAATATAAATACATGAATAAATAAATAAATATAAATATATATGTAACCACACACACACACAGAGTGTCTGCCTACCACCAACCTTGTAAGCTTGAATCTCCTGGCATACTTCCGTAATCTTGCCATGAAGGAGCTGCGCTGAAGGGATTTGTTGCCCACCAGGATCTCCAGGGCTTCAGGGACGGAGTTGCAGTCACCAAGAGAGCGAAGATTTGGGACGTGTTTCAAGAGGAACGCCACGCCAAATTGACTGACTCCAGTGCCCATGATATCCACCTGATTCCAAAACATTATTATTATTGATAATACTTTTTTGTTATTATGCTTTATGATGTCAAAGCATTCATAATCATGAATGTAGGATATGCAAGTATCAGATCCTTTCTGATTCCTTCAGTTCAGATCTTCAATATCACTAACATACAAATAATAAAGCTGCTAATAACAACACATTAACAATATCACATACAAAGACATACACAATGAATGTGAGTGGGATGCTTCAGGGAAAAATGTGGCATAATTTCTGAGCCTTTTGTACAAAGGAGGGGGAGGGGGAATAGAAGGAGAAAAATGAAAAAGGGATTGAGAACAACAACAGGAGGAAGTGGTAGAGGTTTGGCGAAAGATGAGAAGAAAAAATGAAAAAGTAAATGAGAACAACAATGATGAGAATAATGGGGAATGCATGGATGGAATATAAGAGGAGGAGGAAGTGGTGTAGAAAATGGTAGTGGAGGTGAAGGAGGAAAAAGACGAAGAGGAGGAGGAGCAAGAAGAGGAGGAGGGGAAGATGGTGGTGGAAGTGGAGGTGAAGAAAATGAAGGAGATACTGATGGTGGTGGTGTTTGTAGAGGAGGAGGAGGAGGAGGAGGAGGA